CCACGGCAATGAATCTTGTGTTTTTTGCAGTTGTTGCGATGTTCTTCGCCGTTGACCTCCAAAAAGCTAAGCTGCCAAAGAAATCTACTTATTGGATCCTGGTTGCCTTTGTAGCGTTTCACGGGATCGTTCATTTTATTCTTTCGGTAAGCCTTGACTGCGGATACAGAAGGACTGCTTCCGACTTGTTCCATTTCTTCAAAACGCATCATTACAGTCGGAAATTCGTAGTATTCGGCGTGGTACAGGGATGTAAAATGAATTCTTCTATTTCGTTTCTCACAGATCATGCAATGCGTATCTGACAATAAGCGGAGAGACAATCCGGCTGATGTTTACCCCATGAAAGAGATGGGTGTCGGGCAGAATTACTACTACCCACAAACCAAGCAAGATGCGCCAGTAAGTACTTCTAAACCTGTGCCTAACAAGAACACCGATATCACCGTATGCAATCTAACTTGCAGGGAAGCTGTTTGAGAAAATTCATGCTCGCTTTTTACACAATCGTGAACCTTGGATTTACGGCTGTTCTAGTATTGATGGTGATATTCGCACCCATTGAGAAAACTTTGGAGGAATGGGGTCTGCCGGTTGTGGCTTGAACGGTTTCCGAAGATAATTGCCTTGGTTGTATCAGTGCGCTTCAGAACTACAATTTTTCTACCGAAAGCCCTCCGATTCTTGACAGTTCTATGTATCGCCTTCCACTGGTAGCGATTGTTACGGCATTATGTGAAACGTCTTCCTAGGCCGACGACCGTTACAGTTTCTGGAACTTGCAGACTGCTTATTGGGACCATTTAGGAATCTTTCTCTGAGACTTGGTAGGACGAGATAAGAATCAATTTATCTTGACGCTTTGTGCTAAAAAATAAACAAGGGTAGTCGCAATCTTGTTGATTATCTAAGAATGAAGCTCAAACTATTGTTCTGGTGATTTGATATACAATATATGTGAAAAAGTGATGAGTGAACTGTTGACAAATTTTCTATTCACGCCCCCTCAAGAAAATTAATTCATAAAATTTTTAAATTTAGAAAACCTGATTATTGCTGGAAGGTTAAAAAGCCGTTCACTGAAACATGATGTATTTCCAAAATGTGCTTTGATGTACGACTTGTGCGAATGATTATACAATGAGCAAATAGATGGAATTTTTTTGCACTGCGTCATTATTTATTTTCAGTTAGTCGCAAATGGGACGGTTGGACATGACAATAACAACATGTTGAGGAATCTTCACAAAACAATGCTCAAGCTCATAAACACCAACACTAACTTTCGCACAATCATCGTAATTCATCCATTCTCTTTCGGCGAGATCAACGTCCTCAAATTTTTTGTGAGAATTTTCTACTTCAACACGCCAGCCTTTCTGCAAAAGATAAGTACAAATTATTCTGAAATTTTCAACTAATTCGTGAAAAAAATTTTCTCACCGTTGGGATAAAATCGACAAGTTCCAGACCGTGGCAGTCAAATTCTGCAATTGTTTTGAAGTTTTCGCTCTCAATACCGTAGTAAGGCTGAAGTGTTAGGGGCAGTAAACCTAGTTCAAAATTTTCGTTCTACAAGAATCTTTATGTCAATAATGTTGCTCGTTTAAATTCTTACTCATGTGGTTCTCGCGAGAGCACAATTTGCACTTGTAATGTAGCATAGCATGTCCACGTCCACCAGATAACGCTTCTTTGTCAAACCGCGTAAAATCCATATGTTTCGTGACCTCCCCACAATTCGTGCATTTTGCCTGAAAATTGTGCTCAGTGAAAAGCTGAACGCACACTGTTGAACTGCATGCCTTACCTTGAAAACCCGAAGATATGCCTCATCTTGAATATTCAACTTGGATAAGTACTCCAAACGTGCCTTAATCTGAAGTCCAATCTTCACCTGCAATGTGAAAAATGACATCTTGTGCGAAATATGGAACACGTGGGAAACTCACCATCATTCATGAGGGATATAATCAAAAACACAAAAACGTTTTTGAAAAATGTACAAAACTCAGCAAAAAATGTTTTTAGTTTTTGAATTTAAAATCATCCAATTTTCAAAATTTTTCAAAAACCATAAATAATTATTATTGTAGAACATCTGTGCGCATACAACCCAGATAAAAAAAATTAAAATTGCTTGAAAATTGAAGAAGTTAAAAGGAGCTAAATTGAAAAATAGAAGATCTCTGAAAAAACCCATTTTCCGTTTTCAAAACTTCAAAAATTTTTAAAATACCCATTATTAAACAAAACCTCACTTTGAAACTTTAATAAATGGGCCATGATGTTTTCTACATTTTACTTTTTTAAACTTGGAAAAAGATGTAAAATTGCTCAAGTTACAATGAAAAACGCAAACACTTTTTTCAAAATTGGGATATACCAGAAAAAAATACTTTTACATTGTGAAAGTTTTCCACATTTTTCAATGGAGAAATTTTTAAATTTGTAGAATATCTATGTGCATTTACATCATAAAAATAAATCAAACATCTGTAAAACAACAAAAGTTATCAGGAGTTAAAACTAAAAATGGGAGTGCTCTAGAAGAAATTGTTTTTCATTTTTGAAAGTGTAAAGATGTTAAAATTTCAATTTGCAAGTGATGTCCAAATTTTTTTAAGTGCTATGTGCTCAATGATGGTTTGAACATTTTTAAATATTTAACCATTGCCCAGGTGTGGCTGGGCACCCACAGCTTGTTACTAAGAAAAGAAAATATTTACACTCGGTGCACTAGGGTAGGGTAGTTTGTAGCATAGGGTAGGTTGTAGGGTAGGGTTGGGTAGTTTGTAGTGTAGGGTTGGGTAGGTTGTAGTTTAGGGTATGGTACTTTTTAGTTATAAAATTTCATTAATTTTACCAACCATGGATTTCACTGCGGACACTCTACTATACTAGTTACAAAATGATTAAGAAAATTTAATACGGCGGCAAGACCAAGCAAGATGAAAAAATAGACTAGGACTAGACAAACAATTAGTTTTGGTAAGTGAAGCGTTTTTGAAACCAGAAGGAGAATAACACACTACTGCAAAAGGTGGCGTATTATCATTATTTGGGGGGGGGGGGCAATTTTCTGCTTAGATTTCAGGGATGCATTGAGTTCTGCTGAAGTTTCAATGCAAAATGAAGCCTTTCTAGTTTATAAGCATTAGAAGATCAGACGATCGATATAATGGGACTCAAGTTCCGTCAGAAAATAATTTACCGCCTCTCAAAAACCCATGGCACAATAGTGCAGGTTCTGAATTGCTTATTTGTTACCTATATGTTGGCATACGGATTACTTTGCCTCCTAAAGGTTAGTCGAAAATTGATGGTTGTCACTTTTCTTGAAAGTATTTCCGCAGTTCATCATTTATCACGCGTTCTTGTTCATACTATTATAGCATCGTATTTCAGTAATACTAACCATTCATGAAATAAATATAAGTACAATATTGTTCACTATATTCTTCATTTAGCTTGAAATTTTAAAATGTGAATAGTAGCACAGTAAATAGCAGTCGTAAATTTAAAGATCATTAGTATGGAATTGAACTAATTCTGACACAAAGACAAGGAGAAGCAAAAATACTGTCCTCTTCACAGCATTTTCTTTGATGCTATGAAAAATTCAAAACTTTCAATCCAAAGCTAGCAAAATTGAAGTATTTTTGCCTTCTTAATTATTGTGAAAAAGCAATTTCGTTAGGCATTATTAGTCACTTTCTTCCCCATACAGTTTTTTTTTCAGTGCCAAATACTGTATTTGTATTATGGTTTATTTCGAAAGCAGGGATCCACTGATTCAACCCCCGCGATTTAACAGCATAATATGTCAGCCATGTTATATTCTGCACCAACTCTTATGGATCATTCTAATGGAAAAACTTTTTGAAAAAAACAGTGGTGTTCATTTCCACGGATGTTACATATTCTTCTCATTTTCTTGGGAAGAAAATATCCACGTTTTCCGGGTCCTATTTTTCAAAGGTTGAAAAAAAAAGAACCCATGGAACACATCCATACTCGGCAGTTAAATGCAATCCCCTTATAATGCGCCTCGCATGAAATAACAATAACAACCATCAAGTCAAACTGTTCAAAAGGCTGAGTGTCTTTGAAACACAGGCCCGATGGGTCACTTTGAATATTATCTTAAAATCAATCAAGGAGTGAAGAACAATCCAACAAAAAGTATGGGAAGTTTTTTTGCCGACATTTCGCCATGTTTCAGCTCCTCAATTAGTCAGCTCTTCCGAAATGCGCCAAACTTTGGCAGCCAATGCACGGTCGTGAGATTGACTGTTCCACACTCTCGCAGGCTGCAATAAGACAATACAGTATAATTTTGAATTATTTAAAATTTAACATCAGCAGGAACCCCGTCAACCCCATTTTAAAGCAAATGCAAGGACGAAATGTACGCAGGGATCTAGGACAAATTTAGACAGACATTGCAATTGGAGACAGGACCAATTTGAGACAGGTCCAATTCAAGACAGGGCCTATTTGAGACAGACAGTTTCAGAGACAGGCACAATTCAAAAAAGAACATTTTTGAGGCAAAGAAATTTTGAGACAGGTACATTTGGAGACAGAGAGAATTTTGAGACAAGGACTATTTGAGAAGGAAGCATAATTTCCTTACTTTCATTCTTGCTTGATTCATTGTAATACAGTACACTGTAATACACATAAAAACATCGGAATATTCTTCCTCATTTTTCTAAATATTGGGAGAGGTAAACTGCACAAAATATTCTCTCATGGTCAAGAAAAATTACACTAATTAAGACAAACACCTTGTATCGAAAAAAATCTATAGCACACAAGTACAGTTTTATAATGGAATATTTCTAAAAAAGCATATTTCATTTATGTGCATATTTTAATTGGAATATAAAATTCCCCAATATGAAATATGTAATTCTCCAAGATTCACAAAGAGTTTTGGGAAAACCAGAAAATCAAGTGTAAAAGAAAAAAATATGTGAGCAGAGTTACTTTTTGACTGCCTCAAATTGTCCCTGTCGCACATTGTCTCTGTCTCTAAATGTTAATGTCTATAATTGTCCCAATCTCCAAAGTTTCTGTCTCAAATTGTCCAGGCTCAAAGTGTCTTTGATTTGTCCATATCCCATGTGCAGAAATGGATGACAGTTGACTTACTGGCCGGCTTATTAATGCTGACTCAAAATGCCAAATTAGAACTGTCTCTATGATAATAGATACATACCGTATTCCCGTAAAATGATGTGCTTTTTCATTATAATCGATGAAGCATGAAAAATCACATGAATTTCAAAATTCTCCCGGGATGAGAACGTTTTGGGTACTCGGTATACTCTTCCACTTATTCAGATTACAGCACCTTAGTACAGTATTTCAAATCGCAGTGCACAAATTTGTCACACGAATATACGGTACATCAGTGTTATGTCCGCATCTCAGGGCCCCACTTCAGTAAAATTTGTACATAGTTTTGCATACTTCTACATTAAAAAGTAAAGCTTAAAAGAAAGGATTTGAACTAAAATAGTCATCGAAAAAATTAGATACAAAAGAGCGCTGCGCGAATAAGAAACGGCATGGTGAAGTACTGTATTCCGGAAATTATAGTCGTTCGAATCACGCATCATTCATCAAACTATGCGAAACTTTTTTTTGGACACCTCTCCTCTGCATATTAGACAAAGCCGCAGATTTTCCCACGCTTCCATCAAAAGTGAAAATATAATGATTGATTAATGAAAAAAAAACGCATTGAATTGAATCTATGGAATCGTGGTTTCAGAAGAGGGGTGCTCACTTTGCAGTCGGAGAAATATTTCCCAGTCACGCCCTCGACCTCTTCGGAGACAGCGAGATGAATCTGCGTTTGCGCACCTTCCTCGGGAGTCTTGAGTAAATTTTCGAATACGGTTCAGATAAGATTACGCGTGATGATCCATCAAAAGTGTCATTCTTTATTTACCTTGAACAGCCCCACCATGGTTTTAGCGACGGTTTTCGCCAATTCGTTCGGAATGTGCTGCATAAATTCGGTGGCCACGACGCCGGGATGCAAACTGTTCACCGTCACATCTATAAAGCATCACACCATGTATGATCATCATCATACTTATATATGGTACAAATAAACATAACTTTAAATTTTACCGAAGAGTAAAATCAGAAATGCTCTTGTTATCCAGAAAAACGATTACTGCGGTGTCTATTTTGAGTTTCCGACACCACAAAAAAAAAAAACAGGACATTGCTGCTGTGCGTTTTATTTATTTGAGAACATTTTAGGACCTACTATGTTTCCTCCATCAGCGATAGGGAAAAGCCTTGGGATAAAATATAAGTAAGTGTTTCTATGAAAATATTGACTACATAAAATAAGCCCCAGGCTAATTTTGCGACGGCTTTTCTTGACGAAAACTATCCGAAATATCGAGGCCTCATCAAAACTCTTCATTACAGTCAATTTTGCACGCTTGCGAATTAAGAATAAACCAATTTACCTTAAACCGCGATAAACTAAGTCAACATTGAAATCTCGTCCAAAAAACTTTAAGGGATTGTAAAGAAGATTTATGAAACATTACAATTTTTCTTAAATAAGAGCAGAACAGCTACCTTGGACCAACGCTTTCATAGAAGAATCAAGACAAAAACAGTATTTCCAATTTACATTTCAAAATTCTTGAATATTTTTATGGTCACGTGCTCATTGAATTTTTGAGTTATTTCATTAAATTTCATAGGTTGCATTGTATGAAAATAAGTCTCACACTTTAATACAATTTAATTCCAGCGCAAAATGAAAAAGTTTCACATTTACAATACTGAATATAATTAGGTATCACATTGAGTGCTGATCGATCCCAAAGATAGCAAAAAAAGCGAGATTCTAGTTTTCTCCACCGGTGATATTCTTCCATTGAAAACTTCAGCACGTTTTCATGAATATAATATTGTAATATACTAATATGGCCTAAAACAAAGTGGGCATTAAAAGAAAGCTCACTCGTTCCAGCTAAACGACGTGACAATTCTTCAGCAAAAACGATGTTCGCCAATTTTGTGTCGGAATATATTTGCCACTTCTTTCTGCCGATCCCACGCAAAGCATCGGGTGAAACGTCGCCTCCGACGTGGGCCATGGATGATACGACAACAATTCGACTAGGAGCCGAAGTTTTCAACAAATCTGTTCAGCGAGGAAAGAAAGAGGACGTTTCCAATTCAAAAGAATGACGATGATTTTTTTTCCGAGCATGAATCAGGAGGAAAGATTATCAGTTCATGATTTTTATCATTATTAAAGTATTATTCCCTGCAGGAAAATGTTTGCCGAAGTGTTGATGACTACATGCAACTCAAGGCACCGGAGTTCCACCATTGCTGTTCGATTCGAAATTCCGATTGATTAGCAAGAAACAAAGCGACCTCTAAATTTTATTCGCAGAGATCTTCTTATTCGTGCTGATTATAATCCCTATACACAACAGCATTTGATCATCTGCTGCACTTCGAGATTTCCCTGAAAGTTTTTTGAATTGAGGTTCTCAATCGCGGAACAGATTTCCTCAAATTGATTACAATTTTCGTGATTCGATTATCCGCAGTGATTTATTGGACTACCAGTGCAAAATCGTCCGAAAACGGATAATTATGATCGCTGCATTACCAGCATATTCTCAAAAGATGTACTCTGAGCAGCAATTTTTGAAGAAACGAAAAAAATTGATTTATTTTCCATATTTTACCTAGAAGAAGGTTGGTGAGCAAAAAGTGGCCGAAATGGTTGCATGCCATGTTATATTCCAGGTTGTCTTCAGTCCGTTCTGTTCGCTTCGGATCCGAAAGCCCAGCGTTGTTGATCAACACGTCCAAGCGTTTTTCAGTCTGCAAAATGTCCAGGGCGAAACTTCGAACAGATCTTAGCGACGCCAAATCCAGCTTTTTCAAAATCACGTAGCTTGACTTGGCTCCAGTTGCTTGGAGGACGGCCTCTGCGAAAAAAAAAAAGGAATCAGGAAATCTGCATGTGATGATTTCAAAACAGGAATAATGACATGAAAGCCACTAATAGTGGAGTAGAGTAAATTGCATAGTGGTCGGTCATTGCAAACTCCCAAAATGTTTACGTTCATATTCATTGCGAAGAAAAACTGGTCATCCAAATTGTAAAAATTTTCCCAAATATGAGAAGCATCATTTTCTACACAATTACAAATTTCAATTTTCGAACTCTCAAAAGACCAATTTTCATCATGCTGTGGAATAAGAGAGAAATTTTTGGTTCCGCGGTCTCTTGAAAAAAAGTCTTAAAAATTTTTTTTTTTCAACAGCAGATGCTTGAAACATTGTGTGAAAAATTTCGCGATACCTGTACATATTTTGTTATAATCTCGACGAAGTTAGTATTTCCGTAGGCGCACGGGAGTAGGACAACCCTAATATATCCTAAATTACAGTAATTATTTTTCCCAGAAAAAAATATGCCGATAAGCTCAAAACGGCCGATGATATGATTCTGGAATTTTGAGTTTAAACCTCAGCAGTTTCCTACAAACAGCTTCAATGAAAAATCAACACGCAGGTATTAAGCTGTAGAAATTAAGAAAATAGAATGAAAATGATCACATTTACTGTATATCGAATGAGACACATGCGTCAAAAGATTTGAGTATTCTGCGTTATATTCTCTCTAATTCATCTATGCAGCGTTGCACAGAAAATTTTCACGCATTTCCAACGAAAAATTTCCAGAAATTTGAAAAAATGCCTGAATGCATCCACAATATACAGTAACTGTTCCAAAAAAATAAGAAAAAGGTTCAAAGTTAATTGATCGGAACTTTCATTCGAGTCCGAAATTATGCATATTTACTGTTGCTGCATATAATATATCAGAAATCCCTATTTTTAAATTTCATAAATCTCGAAACCTTTTTTATATCATTAGCAAGTTTCGTTTTGCTGGTGAAACTGTCGCAGAATTACCAGAACCTTTACTGCTTCGCTAGACCTTTAAATGTAGTATCGCTCGAATCATTGCCAATAAATTAAAAATTGTGGCATGCATTCGAACGCTGCCTATATATATATACTTACATGTCGTCGATTATCGCACAAAAGTGGTATACCGTAGTAATGTATTTTATTTTATTTTTAGCTCACCACGGGCAATTTCAGCTTTCGCCATATTCCGACAGGCCATGATGACTCGTGCTCCTCGTAAAGCCATATCCTTCGCAGTCTCGAATCCCAGTCCTTTGGAAAAAATGAAATAAAAAATAAAATATCCAGAATCATCCCGAAAATGGCGAAAAGTACGCTTGTTATGGTATAATGTACATACACGACGATTGCATTAGTTGAGCGGCATCATGAACTGGCAGTTCATGAACCAATCACCTTTCTAGCTCAATTTTGGACAGAAACAATCGACAAGATTTGTGTAAAGAACTAATTACCCGTATATTACCTGCCACGTACAAAGAATTAAACATCCTGTTTTCAACACAAAGAGGTATTTCATATTCCCAAAAATGAGCTCAAAGGCTCATCATTTGTCGATTTCAGGGCATATTCTCACATACTGTATTATAAGAGCTAAACGTATACAGTATCATATTCGGATTTCTTTTTTGAAAATTTTTGAGGTGGGAACTGCTTATATCAGACGAATGGGAAAATATTGTATAATTCAACTGCAGATCACGGCAAAAAAAATGAGCTAGAAGAATAGGTAGAATATCAAGTCATGCTATCGGCAAAAATACTTGAACCGTTTTTTCGGTCTGACAATATAACGAGTGTGTGTGTGTGTGTGTTACATTTGTGAAAATATTTGAAATTACTGTAAAAGAATGTACGTATGGCCAGGTCTTAGCATATTACACAGTATTGAATAAATCTTTTATGACGTTTTTCGAGACAATTTGCATAATCACAGTTTTGTTTAACCTTTTGATACAGTTTTTTTTTGCGAAATTAAAAGCAACACGTTAAGTTTCATAAGGTTGTTCGAGATCTCAAGATTGATGAGTACCCCGCTTAATTTTAATTTTTAACTTTCTCGAAAATGAATGCTGATGCATTTTCGGGAATTTTTCCCCAATTACTGCTTAGTATTTCAATCACATCGGTACTCATCTGACGCAGCCAAAAACACATTTATTTGAAGATAAAGAAGAAATGGAGATAGATAAAATACTGTACAGTATTTGTAGCATTCAATATCTTATCAGTAATTCGAATAATATACTATAGAATGACGATGCAGATTTTTCAGGTTTAGCATTTTTCAAGAGAGGCGTTTGAGAAAGATAAAAGATTGGGTCACCAGCACTCTTTCACCTCAAAGCCTATGTGCTTAGCACATAGTTTATCATTAGAACCTTAGATTTCCGTGAAGAAAATGTTTGCATAACGCAAGGATATGCTGCATCAGTACTTTTTTCAGAAACAAAAAACTTTTTTAGTTCGTGGGGAATCAAAAAGGTCTTGATGAGAATTGAGCTGTTCGTAATACGCTCGGCGAAGGCGTTAATTCTGAATTACTTTCACCCATGAAAACCGAAGACCTTTGAAAGAAAGAAAGCCTACAATCCTTTTACAATTTCCAGGGGGCTTAAAACAATTTTGAATTATAATAAATGAAGAAGCAATTCGACACATAAATAATGAAAATCAGTGGCTGCATGCGGCGGCTGTTGAAAAACTGAGCTTGAGCAAAGAAAACTTGATTGGAATTCAAAGTTTTAGGAAAATTTTCAATTGGATTCCGAGGATCTTCCTCGTCTAAACATGGTAAGCATAAGAATTCTATTAATGTTCTCGAGTGTCTCCCATTAATCCATATCGATCGGTTCACGAAATAGTATTCATCTGTTGTTTCTCACTTTCACCCCGAAATAATGGACTTGATTATTTTTCAAGGCAAGAATAATTTATTTTTGACACCGTACCATTTTTCGTCTATCTCTGCATAATGATAATTTGTTGATGGTTCGCAAAATTGTGAGTCCACAGTACTGTATAGTAAAGTTTTCCGGGCTTTCCTCACCTTGTACCTTTCTCAAGAGCCAGCACTTCAGTAGTGTATTGTATACTGTACAGCATGGTTTTAAGTTAAATTCAGGTTCATGAAGGCTCAGCAGTAGAACATGCCTAAAAATTCCCAATTTCTCTCACCTCAAAATGTCCATACTGTATTTCGATCTCACTACGACGACTTTCATTTAAACGAATCCTTGTTCACGCCGAATTATTTTTATAAAGGAATATACAGTACTTTATATCTAGGATATTATTTCAATTTCCTTTGAACGAACGTTTTGTCGAAATGAAGATTTTTCTTGGTTCTCAGCAATGGCTTTATTGTAACAAGATTTTACTTGAAATTACGTTTCCTCAATGTAATCAACCTTTCTAAACCAACCTTTCTCGTACTTTCATTCACCTCGAGTCCCAATTTAAATGTTTTCTTAAACTTTAACATACCGCGCTCATTGAATAACCTTTTCCATAAACACGCCATCCCCCTTATACTATATACAATACCAGCAAATAGGTTCACAAGCCCATAATATACTGTACTGTACTTTACCACAATACCACCCGTCGTAATAACACGTACATCACTTGATTGGTGGAAGTGCCTTTTATGCTTCATAAAATACGGGTGGGCTCTCTCTACAAGAATCTTTTCTACAACGGGATTTTCTCTGTGAGACACATTTTTTGTCCCATTTATAAATCTCTCCCCATTTTGTATAAGCCAATATGGCGTTCTCTCCTAAAAAATTTTCTCCGCGACGATTTTTTTCTGCCCCCTTCAATTTCGTTATGCATGTGAAGACTCACCAGAATTGGCCCCGGTAATGATCACAGTTTTGCCTCTCATTTGCCGTTTGCTGAGGCATCTTCCGTTCGTCAAAGCCATGTAACTCCTAAGCGTGAAATACAGGGCGAGTATGGGCACACCAAGGTTCACAGCGAGCCAAGTTGACGTGCTCAAAAGGCAGTCGATCATGGACCACAAGCTACAAAGGAATCCGAACATGACGGAATCACTAGATATACAGCGCTGACTGTATATACACGTCAAAAATTCCTAAAAATGAGAAAAACGAAAAAAATATGAATAGGAGGATTGCTGATGATCGACAGATGAAAGATGAAAATATCACACAGCAGTTGATGCCGAGAGAGTGACAATAATACAGAATCCTCTGATGAAATCAACCCCGTCGCGCTATCTCCATTTGTGAACCACCCTTTTGAAGTTCTCGAAAATACTGATGTACCGCATAAAATTGAAAACACGGAGGGGGAAAACGATGAAACAAAAATCCTTCCCGCAGATTTCACTGATGCTGCGTCATTTCGAGGTTCCACTTCCGCGCTGATCGTCCCGAAATTTTCTTGAAGTACGAGACATATTTATACATTCGGAATAGGCACGATTGTGCACAAGTAAGATTCCTCCAAACATGTAAATATTTGCGAAGATCTCGATGACAACCATCGTGAAATATCCAGCAACAAATTATTCAGCCAATACGCAGTGAACCATTTCATTCTAAACTACAAAAGATAGAGCGATATTGGTGAGACCATCAGTAGCACGCGCTATATACACACATCAAAGATGCTGCGCGCAGCATAAATGCGTCGAATTGAGATTCAGTAAACATAATAAAAGAAATAACCTTTTCCGACGGAATGGATCAACTCAAATCATAAGATATACTGTACACCGAATGTATGGATCGCAGCATAACAGTCAAGTTTTTGGAGACGACAAACCCGAAACGCACCGCGGAACTCATCACAATTGTCTTCGTCTTGGGGAGTTTTGGAACGCGATTGCTTAGGCGAGGTACGAGATATCGCTGAGTCAATACAACGCTCCGACAAGCAACCGCGCGCGTGATATGACCCTCCGAGTCAGAAAACGCCGCACGCACCCACTGATGCGCATGCACCAATATAAAAGGATCCAACGTGGTCTTCGTTCGTCATCACAGCACGAAGGGGCATCACGAGAGAAAAAGAATAGTTTTTATATAACGACAGAATCATTCATCTAGATGACTTAAAGTCTTACACATCCTTCAAGAAGCTCGCGAATCAGTTCATAATATGCGGTGATGTATCTAAGCTGCTGTTATACAGCAGCTGCTGCTGATCTTCAAAATGTATTGCAAATAACCCATACAAAGCAATTTCCATTTCTGCATCATTTTCAAACGAATTTTCCAAAGCTGGAAGAGAGATGCAGCGGGAAGGGTTTTCATTTTATTTTGAAAGAGCAGATTCATCTATGAACAAGCAAGTGCAATAAAATATTATTAATAAACTTTTATTGACTCCAGCAGATGCAAAAAAATTATGAAAATAACACTGCTGAGATCAGTGCAAACAGTTTTCAAGATTTATGATGCAAATTGTATTCGCAGCAGTACACTTCATGAAAGCATTCTGTAGTCTGACACGCATGGTATTTGCAAAGTCTCCGAACTTCAATTCTTGAGTGGTGTATAAATGCCATTGATTTGACAGGCACTGTGTACAGGGTGTAAAGATTTCATTGAACTACATTCATTGAAAGTTGAGCAGGAAAAATCATGCCTGGGTGGACAAAGCAATACCTAAAAATCCAGCCATGGTCCAGTTTAGGGAGAAAAAAAATTTGCTCAATCGATATGCACTGCAAGCAGTGAATTATCCCACTCATCAACTTAATTTCTTCTCTCACTCGTCCTACCTTTTCTTGTGAGTTTTGGGAATGTGTGCACACTGTGGAAGGTATCCCCTTGATTTGCTGGCTAAATTTCGGCACCCCACTTATCCAGAAAAACAGCCCTGGACAACAAGAGCTGTGAGGGAAAACTCCAATGCAAATGCACGAACCTCCCCCCCCCCCCCCCCCCCCCCCCCCCCCCCCC